TGGGGTGAGGGGGGTTGTAGGGCTGTGTCAAAAGAGTTGGTTTTTTTGACCCAAATATGCCTATGCTTGTGAGGCCGTCACAGAGGTTTGAAAAGATTTAGACAAAAATATAAAATTATTTGAAAAGCTTAACCAACACTATTAAATTGAGGAGTAAGTAGGAACATAATTTCTGGTCATAAAGTCTCTACACATTATACTGCCCATTATGCAACCTTTCAGAAAGTGTTACTGGTCAGGGAGTAATAGCAGCTATCACAGTACATGCATTGTGGTTGCTGTGTCAGAGACCAGGAGAACCACCTGTAGGAGGGTTCTCCTTCTCTCCATGTCAATCAATTCTTCAGCATAGCTGTCTTTGCCAACTCTATGTCAAAGAATTGATTAATATGTAGGGTAGTGTTTTATTTTTAAACTGTTTTTTTTTCTAAATCTATACATTTGCTAGTAATTCTGCCAGCACAATGTATACATTAAAGTCAATTTAACTTTAAATTAAATATACTTGTATCATGACAGGTACATTTCAAGTCCACAACATTTAGTCAGCGACTTCTCAACAGAGTTGCCATCAATCTCGAGTATCACACTATATTCAATAAATGTTTATTGTATCAGGAAGATTTCAAATACACAAAAGAAGAAGAAAAAGCAATAACCATACAAGAGAACAACAATGTATCATCATCTGACAATACTGTCCGTTGGCTTAGATAGCTTGATACTTTGATACTTAAGGTCCAGAGCAGCAGCTAACACATAGCTACATCTAATAGCTTCCCTGCGTCACTCCCCTTTACATTGTTTATGCTTTAGTATAACTTCAGAAGAAGTGTATGCTATATTGGGGTTGTCATCATTGCTCTAATGTCTGGGATTCTGTATCAGTTGTTTACCTAAATTCACCCATTGCTTTTCCTTTGTGTCTGTATTAGGATTAAAAGGATGAATTTCTATTATGTTTACAAGAGAATGTGCAAAGAGGTAAATTGCATTAGAGTATTGTGAAGGTTTTCTTTCTTTTTTGTTTTAGTGGGATTGTATTTAATCCAACAGACATGTTTTGTTGTTTTCAGCACTTCATAAATTGTTTATAGCAACTTTGTACTAGACTATTTTCTAACATTAGAATGGTAACTGGAATTCTTTGGATGCTATCTTAAACCATTGAGAGATGTTCTGACAGCATAACGAGACAAGAACAGGGGTGAACTGGCAGGTTACTGTCATCCCATGGTTGATGCAATAACCCAAGAACATAGTGCTCTAAAAATAATTTTGACACAGACTATCTGAGTATAGTCTTACTAGCTCAATACAAATATAGAAAGAGTGGAAAACGGCACGGTACTGGAGCAGAAAAAAACTGGTCTAAGGAACAAGTAAAGGCTTTTGGAAAATTATAACATGAATCAAATAGCTGACTAGTAATATAATGGTATCAAAGCCAGCAAATTATTGGCAGATAATGCAAAAGTTTTTTTAAAACCCACCCACCAAAAACAGCAGTTTCCTCAGCACCATAATCCCACCCATTTAGCTTTAGACATCATAGTGAATAACTTTCACTTGTTCAATATCGGTCCAAATATCCATACGTGTTTGATTAATTATGAGTATGCCCTTCATTGGGAACTCAGTACTTGAATGAGGGGACCTCTTGGTATTTCCTGTCCACTATGGAGTCTTTCCTTGCTGCTGATTGCACACAAACAACTAATTGGAGCTATTAAATATTTGCAGATAAACAAAGCAATTGGCTTTACACTCTTCTTGGGGTTTATTTCCTAAATTTCCTAAATTGTGACTTGTGGTGGGCTGAAATGAGAACTTAATAAATTACTGTATAATGGTAAAAAAACAAGAACTGCCCAATTCAGCGATATTAGAAAGATATGTGTTGCCCTACATTATGCAATTTAGTTTTTCGGTTCACTGTAGTTAATAAACCCCCTAATTCTTTAACTAGTTAAGATGTTTAAGAAAATGTGTGAAAACGACTACATACCAGAGTAGCCTACTCCCAGCATTCTCAACAATCATTACACTCCAGGATGGGCACAATTGACATTGATCATAAGGAAATGTAAAATATATATATATATACACAATGATCAGCCACAAAACTAAAACCACCTGTCTAATATCGTGTAGGACCCCTTGGTCCTGCCAAAACAGCCCTGAGGCATGGATACTCCACAAGCACTGGCATACCTACCATGGTCACAGGGGTCGCAGAGGGCCCGGCCGCCTCCGCAACCCCTGCGACCGTGGGCCGCCTGGATACCTTATGGGCCGGTGCACAGCCGCACCAGCCCAGGTCCGAGGTTCCCGGAGGTCTGGCAGGAAGGGAGAAGCTGCACTGTGCTGCCCCCCTCCTGCCTGTGTGTAGCGTGGCCGAGTGGTCTGACAGGAAATGCTCACTGTTAGAGCACTTCCTGTCAGATCGGCCAGTAAGGTATAGGAGGAGAGGGGGGAGAGACAGAGGGTATGGGACACCTAGAGGGGAGGAGAGAGAAAGTGAGGGTATGGGACACCTGGAGGGAGGGGGGGGGATGGAGGGTATGGGACACCTTGAGGGGCGGGTTGAGAGAGAGGGAACAAGAGGACACATGGAGGGGAGCGAGGGAGGTTATGGGACACAGGGAGAGGAGGGGGGAAATGCAGGGTATAGGACACAGGTAGGGGAGGGGGAAGAGATGGAGGGTATGGGACACGGGGGGTGGAGGGTATGGGACACTTGGAGAGAAGGGGGGAAAGAGGGAGAAATGGGACACAGGGAGGGGAGGGAGGAGAGAGGGAACAATGGGACACATGGAGGAGGAAGCGGTAGGAATGAGAAACAGGAGGGAGGGAAGAGAGGAAGGGTATGCGACACAGGGAGGGAGAATGAAGGGTATGGGACACAGGGAGGGAGGGACAGATGAAGGGTATGGGACACAGGGAGGGAGGAGTGATGGGGCATATGGGACACAGGAGGGAGGGTGGAGAGGAGAAATTGATCACCTGGAAGTGGGGAGATGAGAAACAATGGGACTCGTAGAATGGAGGGGAGAGAGGGAGGGTATGGGACACATGGAAGGGGAGAGGAGGGAGGAGGTAGAGAGGTATGGGATGAATGGAAGGGAGGAGAGAGGGCAGAATGTGACACATGGAGGCGAGGGGTAGAGAGGGAGGGTATGGGATACATGGAAGGAGGGAGGAGGGAGGAGGGAGAGAGAGTATGGGATAAAATGGAGGGAGGGTAGAGAGGGAGGGTATAGGACACTGGGAGGGGAGAGGGAATGGGGCACATAGGGGGGCTTTCGGGCAGAGGGAATGAGGCACATGGGGGGGCCAGGCCATGGGAATGAGACACCGAGGGTGGTGGAGGGGGGATGAGACACATGGATTCTCGTTACGCCTCTGTCCACAAGAGCTCTAAACGTGTCCTATGGTATCTGGCACCAAGACTTGAGCAGCATATCCTTTAAGTCCTGCAAGTTGCGAGGTAGATCCTCCATGGATTCAGATTTGTTGTTCTAGAACATCCCACAGATGCTTAATTGGGGAATTTGGAAGCCAAGGCAACATCTTCAGCTCTTTGTCATGTTCGTCACACCATACCTGAACAGTTTTTGCAGTGTGGCTGGGTGTATTATTATTATGCACTTGATCTCCATTTAAAGCGCTTTCAGTGATGTATAGGGGTCATCATGGGCCATCATGACTGGTCTGCGCCTAAGTACCCACAAACATAGCAAACTGTGATGCATTGTGTGTTCTGATACCTTTCTATTATGACCAGCATTACGTTTCTTAGTGATTTGAGCTATAATAGCTCTTCTGTGTGATCGGACTAGACGGGCTAGCCTTAACTCACAATGTGCACCAAATGAGCCTTGGGCACCCATGGCCCTGACGCTGGCTCAGTAGTTGTCTTTGTACCACTTTTGGTAGGTACTAACCACTTCATACGGAAACACCCCACAAAACTTGCCATTTTTAGAGTTGCTCAGACCCAGGCGTCTACCCATCACTATTTGGCCTTGTCAAAGTAACTCAGATCTTTTTTCTTGCCAATTTTTTCTGTTTCCAACACATGAAATTCAAGAACTGTCACTTGCTGGCTAACATATCCCACCCCTTGACAGGTGCCATTGTATTGATATAATCAATGTCATTCACTTCACCTGTCAGTGGTTTTAATGTTGTGGTTGATCAGTGTATAATGGACAGACAGACATACCGATCGATTGATTGATCAAAAGATCGATAGATCAATAGATAGATAGATATCTTGGGGGGAAGACTATCTGAACCTTTTAAAAACTTAAAGCTGAAGTCACAGTATCAATTACGAACATTTGACTAAAAACAGTTCTTCATTACCAATAGTAATGACAAGATCAAGTGTATGCATTTATAAAAGCATTGCAGCGTAACCCATGATGTTTTGCTAAGCTAAAAAAATCATCAATAATTGACAGCAGCCACAGAATAACTGCAATTAGTTTATTCATGTTTTTTTCTCTTACGATCTGATGAGCATAACTGCAGCAAGGGACAAACTGCATATTCATATATTCCTGATGAACACAGGGTTTATGAGACAAAATTAGAAGCCATAGACTAGAATAAGAAGCACCTCATCAATTGGTGAATGTGCAAGTATAAAGGTAAATATCTTTTTTCAATTTTTTAAGTTTGTATTGTTTTTATTACCATATCTGTGCAATGTAAAAAAATTACTTGTACACTAAAATACTATTTGTAAATAAATATCACCATACTAATGACTGCATAATGTGTTCAGTCTATATTGGAATCATAGAGCCCTGAAAAAGGCATTTTAAAAAAGTATTCCTTTACCCTCTCTTCAGTAAAAACATAAGTTTTTATTTTTTAAATTTGTAACAATTCTCCTGAACCAAAATTCAGAATTAAAAGATCATTTGGAAACGCATCTGACAATGACAATATAAAGATTATTAAACATTTAGAAAATTACAAATCACTTACATGAATTCTTCTGTAATATATTTTCGTACACTTATAATTCAATCTTTTTTTGGTTTAGATGTGCATCATAAATCTTAATAAACCAAAATCCGATGCTGTGCTCGGAAAATCCACACACGAAGATACTGTAGAGGGCAGCGTTGTTGCGTCTTTAATGAGATGGCTAGTTAGTTTGAAAAAAAAAATATGATGGAAAAATACTGATAAAAGAAAAAATACGCTTCTTTTGTGTACACGGAACCTTTCCTGCTAGTTGATTATAAGAGGAATAAGTCCAAACCCCTGCAGCATAGCACTTCTAAACTAGAGGGGAGATGACTCGACCATTCCTACAATTGTATGTAATGTTACCCAGATCAACTTTCAGAAAATATTCCAGACTGTCCATCAGTAAACAAAGCCATTTCTTTTAGTGGATGGTAGCATGGCATGACATGCTATGACAAACATATGTTGCTTGACGTCCACAGCTGTAATTTTAACCACTTTTTACAGCTGAAGGGCTGTTATGGGAAGTCAGGCTGTTGGTTCTAACATTCTTTCTACGATATATTTGCTGCTTGTTCTCCTGCTACTAGAAGGTTGAGTACATCTGTTAAATGATCAATCCGTGTTAGTAAAGTTGCATAACATAATATTTTATGGCAACTTTTACGGTCAGACGAGAAATGTCTCAATAAAATCACACTCAGTTTGAGCAGCTTGTGGATAAATCTAAATATTAAATATTAGAGCAGAAAGAAGTAGATGGCTTTTAATATAGCTTATAGTGCGTAAGGATATGATTAAACATCCCTTGAGTTCACTTCCTTCTGAGAAGCAAACTTTACTGCCCTTAACATATTTAGCAATTCTGAAAAATATCTGTTTTAAGCAGCTGTGAGCCACGTAATGTCCTTTATTAAAATACTGAATTTAGTGTATGTAAAGTAATTTATTTTATAACCTTTTCATGACAAGAATCTAGGAAAATCTTGTATTATAAAAGTTATATAAAGTCTTCTGTGTGTCATGGATGGGTTAAATCCCCAATACTGAGAAAGGCGAGATACAAGCATGGTGACTCACTATGTACCTATCTCCCAATCAGAGCTGTCTTAATGCATGGGCATGCTGGGCAGTTGAACGGGGACCCCACGAGGATAGGCGCTCTACAGCTGTGCATAGTACTGACACAATACGGGGGGGGGTAGGGGGGAAGCAGCCGGTGCTCTTGTCAGGCCTATGCAGCTGTGGACTGGGGGCGCACTTCAAGAGGGGACCTCCAAGGCCTACCTCCAAGGCCTACCCAGCATACAGGCACGCGCCAGGACACTGCAAGGGGGCAGGACAAGTAGCAGAAGAAAGAAGGGTATTAGGACTAGAGTCCTGAGAGCAGGTACCATACGATGCTGGTTAAAATGGCCTGCTTCTTGGAGGCACCAATAAATATAAGCTCATTTTATCAATAATTAGAATTTTTATTCATGTGAGTGGATTTGTAGGAAGGGCTCTATTGCACTGCTTTGTCCATGGGCCTATAATGCTGTTAAGACAGCCCTGCTCCCAATATTCCAATGGACTAAGAGGAACATTTTTGTTCTATGGGGTGTTAGTGGGGGTGCAGCCAGGGGTGGGGCTGAGAAATTTTAGCTGACTTGTTAATAACAAATTGTGCTACTAAAGTGTCATTTTTTGAACAGAAACAAAGTATCTTATTCACACAGTCAGATTTCTAAACACATTTATTGTGGTTTAGGAACACATTAATGTGAGAATGATTGTTGTGGAGCTCTGTTATACACTCAGAGACAACAATATGGAGCTCCTAAAATAAGAGGGTCATAGGGATAGAGGGATTTTGGCCCAAACTAGGGACTGTCCCTTCTAAATAGGGAAACTCAGGAAGTAAGCTCTATTTTTCTGGAGCTCTCAGTACTTGAGTAAACTGACCAACAGAGGGATAGAATAAGGCAAAATATTGTTGCATTTTTGGTCAATGGCTGGGTCCAGTAGGACAACCTATGTGCAGAAAACTCTTTGCCAGTTAACTACAAGCAAGGTGGCTACCCAGCCTCTGTGCAAGTACTGGTAGGAAGCAAAATAACTTGTACTTTATATCCAACATTCTACTTGGAGGAATGGTTGGGAGACCATCAAGAAGGGATGAAAGATTTTAGAAATGATGAAAGAAAGATGCAAGAAAATTATAGATGAAAGAGGAGAAATGTATTATCAATATCTGTCCTTAAAGTCCTTTCATATACGGGTTTATACATTTCAGGGGAGATTTAACAAGTCAAAAACAGATGCTATTCTGGGGCAAAACTTGAAATAAGTAGTACTCATCATGGAAACCAAGTGTCCAGCACCAGCTTTGCCATGGTAAATCTCGAACCTTTTTCAATGTGTACTTTATACTATATAACTTTCCACCTTGAGTTTTGCAAGACAGAGTGAACTTTTTGGGCAGAAAGCCAGTGTTCAGCACTGATGTCAAAGACAATAACGTGTTCTATGCTGTCTCGACTCACTCATGCCAAATGGTAGCAGATGGTGTCCTCCCCACAGGCCTTGCATTCATTGTGCTACACTTGGCAAACTATAAAGATCACCCTCAGTGGGTAATGTTTTTGACAAACACAATGACAGAAGAAGTAAAGTTATATCTGTCTGGATGATATGTGCAAGTCATTTGTTTATTTTATGTGGTCAGGTAGAATATGTGATTCTAACACATTGTTTATTGGTTATTTTACTCATGACAACATCCTCAAAGCACAAATAAATGTTATTAGTGATCTTCACTCAAGTACTTCATTTAGCAGAAACAAACATCCGCCTGTACAGAATAAAAAACAGATGTATGTGTACATGGTTTCATACCGTACATATGAAAGTACCTTATGTCTGAACTTTGAGCCACGTACTCTCTCATATTCATTAATGGGACAGCAGAATGCTGGCGATCTTTGCATATGACTGCCAGGCAATGGTATGATGCCCTTGAATCCAGTCACTTGTTAAATGACTCCAAATCATTAAATAGTTGCTTTGGCATTGAGGAGTTTAGCTCACAATGGTATGCAATAGTACAGATCATTAACATATCTGTCCCTGGATATTGTACAATGCTCTTTCATACACTGGTGTCCAGTATTAACTATAGCTTGGTGTCCCCAGCAAATGGTTAATGGAGCAATTTATGCACGAGAATTCCACTGTAGTGATTATGGTGTCAGAATACCCCTGGAGCTTTCCCAAATCCTGCGTCAAACCATTTTTGTGCAGTGTTACATAAACCAAAGGTTGTTAAGGCATCCAAATTGCAGTCTGTCATTCAGCATATTGATACGAAATGACACTTTTGCATTAGAAATATAAATTTTATCCAAATTTAGAATGCAATATAGTTATGGACAAAATTTATATAGATAATGTAGATTTGTAACTTCCGCAATAGCACTGTGCTGAGTGAGGGGCTGGGCTATGGATAAAATTTATATTTCTAATGCAAAAGTGTCAAACCATTTTTGTGCAGTGTTACATAAACCAAAGGTTGTTAAGGCATCCAAATTGCAGTCTGTCATTCAGCATATTGATACGAAATGACACTTTTGCATTAGAAATATAAATTTTATCCAAATTTAGAATGCAATATAGTTATGGACAAAATTTATATAGATAATGTAGATTTGTAACTTCCGCAATAGCACTGTGCTGAGTGAGGGGCTGGGCTATGGATAAAATTTATATTTCTAATGCAAAAGTGTCAAACCATTTTTGTGCAGTGTTACATAAACCAAAGGTTGTTAAGGCATCCAAATTGCAGTCTGTCATTCAGCATATTGATACGAAATGACACTTTTGCATTAGAAATATAAATTTTATCCAAATTTGGAATGCAATATAGTTATGGACAAAATTTATATAGCTAATGTAGATTTGTAACTTCCGCAATAGCACTGTGCTGAGTGAGGGGCTGGGCTGTGGGTGTCAATTGGAATCTTGGTTTGCGTCAAACTCTTTGAAACTTGTTTGATGCATAACCAGGGGATGGAGCCATGGTCATGCTAGCACAATAACCACTACAGTGTATCTACGTAACTGTATTCCTAATTCTACAGTCCTGATACACCTTGTCATGTCAGGCCCTCCCATGTGTAAAAAAAAAAGAAAAAAAAAAGATTTAAATCGAATAACTCATCTTTTCTGCAGCGCCAAGTCTTCCTCCTCCTTGGATTACATCTTCTTGGATGACGAGCCAATACAAAACTCCTTGCAGAGGAGCATTAGGAAAGTAAGCTCATGTGCAGTGTTTGCTGCAATGCGCCTCCAATTCCTTCATAGAGAATCATATTCAATGATTCTCCATGGCCGACCGTGCATGTGTGCGTGATGTTACGGTTTGAGAGCCGTGCTTCCAAGCCTTCTATTTACATTAAAATAAGGTTTTGAGGGGGCAGGACAGGTTGGTTAGCACTGAAGGCACAATAATAACTTCAATAAGATATGATTTTTATTTACGAGTTTGTTAAAGTTCAATGCATAAAACTTTCTAATAGCTTCTTCTGTACAGAATTTAACAAGGTATCTTATAAATCAGGCTTTCCCAAACTCCGGCCCTCCAGATGTTGCTGAACTGCAACTCCCATAGTTCTACGAATGAAATAGGCTGAGAATCATGGGAGTTGTAGTTCAACAACATCTGGAGGGCCAGAGTTTGGGTAAGCCTGTTTTAAATGGTTAGAGCCGGCATGTCCAACCCGTGGAACTCGGGCCGCATGCAGACAATGCGGCCCGCCTACCGCGGAACTAAACAAAGTTGATTCAGGAACCCGGTCGCGCTATTTCAGCGCCGCGGTGTCTGACCGGGAGGAAGTGCTTTGCCGGGGTATGAAGAAGCCACGCATTAGATACTAGATAGGAGCAAACGGAGACTCCTATCACAACCAGCCAGACGCCACAGAAAACACAGAGAAAGGTATGTAGCAGATATTGTAAATTGGGATCTTTTGTGTAGGTTTGAGTATGTGTTATAACTGTTTTTTTTCCATCAGTGTGTGTGTGTGTGTGTTACCAGAGTGTGTTATTAGTGTGTGTGTGTGTTACCAGAGTGTGTTGTTAGTGAGTGTGTGTGTTACCAGAGTGTGCTGTTAGTGTGTGTGTGGCCAGAGTGTGTTATTAGTGTGTGTTACCAGAGTGTGTTATTAGTGTGTATGTGTGCGTTACATCAGTGTGTTTTATGTGTGTGCGTTACATCAGGGTGTGTGTTAT